ATTTAACAAATGAATGTAATATTCGCGTTTGGCTGGTCAAATAACCTTACTAAGTAAAGTCTTGGCGGAATTTGAGCTACGGACTCTTTAGTCACTGACGGTCGCCCCAGCAGCTCTTACGTACATCGACTCGTTCGACTTTGTGAGGACGCCAAATCTCGACATGTCCCTGAATTTTGTTTTTTTTCTTAATAGACCAAAGAAGTCAACCTCCAGCAATAATTTGCAGACGAATCCGGATTACTGCGCATGGTCTAGGCTGCAAAAGGCTTCATTTTAGCTTGAAACCCCAAAAATGCTCGAATTTCACTAGTTTCGGAAAACGCCTGAAATGCCAAGGTTTGAGTGCGTCATGTTGAATAAGAGTGAAGTTATGAAACCAGTTGCAAAACTTAGTTTCCAGCCTAATATCTCTTTTCCCAAGAACTCTTATGCCTTGCTTCAGGTACCATTTTGTAGAGCTGGCTTCAACTTAGATTTTTTTATAGAAGGAATCACCATCCTTCTTCATTACTGTAGGATTACGGTAGAAACTTTATGGTGTCAATGTGGAAAAAGCTGCCGTTTCAAAATTTTTCAAAAAATGTGAAAACTTGTGCAATAAGGTTTTTATGGACGCTGAGTTCAATACACAGCTATTCACAAAATTGCGAGGCTTCTTAAATGGTGTAACCGCACTTTTTAGGAACATTGAAAAAAAGGCCGCTACCTCTTACCTGGCATAACTCTTCAATGAAGCATCATAATAAGTTGGGAACTTTAAAAGTTAGAATCAGCAACTCTAATTAGCCTAGTATAAAAGTTTTCAGGCTGTTTTATTTCCTTTCTGAGGCAAAATATGGGCTTTCATGGCTCAAAACCCTCATTGAAGTTACCGCCGTAATCCTACAGTGATGAAGAGAGATGGGTGATTCGTTCTTTACAGCGAATCTAAGCTGAAGCCAGCTCTACAAAACGGTACCTGAAGCAAGGCAAAAGACTTCTTGGGAAAAGAGATATTAACGATCAAACAGTGCACACATACTTTACGGACACCCTGTATATACATTACGCATTATACAGACATTGCTATTTACCCTTTCCCTTTCCTTGTTGCCTGGTCTAGCCTTTAGGGACGTATTACATGCCGAAGGGAGTGGTCGAGAGGAATTATGGAGCTCCTTAAGCTCCTTAACTTTTTCCTTGAGTATTATTCTGCTACGTCAAAACATAGATACAGCGATAACAGTGGAATGTTATGACGAACAATAAGACTAGATAGCAGATTTTGTGGGAATCATGATTCGTCAGAGTCATGACACTCCCGCCGAACTTAAAAGTTTCATTGCCCAATTTTTTTCCAATAGCGCACGAATTACCGGAAAGTAATGACAAAGAGTATACAGGGTGTCCCAAAAAAATGTGAACACTGTTTGATCGCTAATAACTCCGTCGCTTTTATGTCTTTCGCCGAGCTTGAGGCACCATTCTGTAGAGCGAGGTTCAACTTAGATTTATAGTATGGTGCGAATCGCCGATCGGTGTTCGTTACTGTAGGATTACGGTATGAACTTTGACGAGGATTTTAGGCCATTGTAGGCCATATTCTGCCCCGGAACAAAACCAAACAACCCAAAATATTTTATGCTATGGTAATGGAAGACGATGATTTCGAATATGAAATTTCCATTTTACTATGATGCTTCTTTCCAAGGTTATCCCATTTAATGCAATTAACTGAATTTCTAGCATTTGTCAGAAATGTGACCACATCGTCAAAAAAGCTAAAAACGCTCGTAAAAAGTTGTCTAATGGAATCAGCGCGCAAGAAAACCCTAGTACACGATTTTTCAGATTTTTTGAACAAACTTTTGTCAAATGGCATATTTCACTGTAGATCCACATGCTAGAAGTTCATACCGTAATCCTACAGTAACGAACAGCGATCGGTGATTCGCTCCATACTACAAATCTAAGTTGAACCTCGCTCCACAGAATGGTGCCTCAAGCTCCGCGAAACACATGAAAGCAACGGAGTTATCAACGAACAAACAGTGTTCACATTTTTTTGGGACACCCTGTATACACTATGAACAAAGATTATATACAAACAAGTCACCAAAGAGTGACAACAATTCCAGCAACAAAATTAAATACAAACAAGTGAAAGCGATTTGTACAAATCAATTGATAAGATGACATGCAGATATTCATTAGGCTGGAAACTAACTTTTGCAACTGGTTTCATAACTTCACTCTCTTTGGATATGGCGCACTCAAATTTTGGCCATGTAGAAGGCATGTGAGCTACAAATTGGCACAAATTGTCTAAATTTGGAACACGAAATAGAAGAGTTTCAGGCGTTTTTAAAACTAGTGAAATTTGAGAACTTTTGGGGTTTCAAGCTAAAATGAAGCCTTTGGCAGCCTAGACCATGCGCGGTAATTCGGATTCGTCTGCAAATTATTGCTGGAGGTTGACTTCTTTGGTCTATTTAGAAAACAACAAAATTTAGGGACATGTCGAGATTTGGCGTCCTCATAAATTCCAACGAGTCGATGTACGCAAGAGCTGCTGGGGACGACCGTCAATGACTAAAAAGTCCGAAGCTCAAATTCCGCCGAGACTTTACATAGTGAAGTTATTTGACTTGCCAAACGCGAATATCACATTCATTTGTTGAATCAGCGTCTTCTTCCTTGTTTAGGGTGAGACCCCATATCATACACCTACAGTAGTCCTACAAAAAAGCCCTTGTTACGCAATTTCACTATCGTTTTCGTGATCAGCATGTCGGATAACACCCCTATGCCAAGTTTCAGCCAAATCCGTTAAACTTTGAATTTTTCCCCTTCATACCATGCACCTACCGTAACCCTCACTGCGACGTCAGAATTTGGTAGGACAGCAGCTGCGCTTGTAGCCTACGTAATAACCAACGCAGTGGCAAAATTTGAGTGCGCCATGTTGAGTGAGAGGGAAGTTATGAGACCAGTTGCAAAACTTAGTTTCCAACCTAATACAAATACATACAGCAGTATCTGAGTGAACTCATGGTCGGTCCATCCTTCTCTTCTCAAGACTCGTAGGAGATGTAAAAATCTTGTGCACCAGCTATCGTCGGTGGACGGCTCCTTGTTGTTGTTGATGTTTTCGTTTTGTTTACATCTTTCCTCTTTCTAAAACTTTTCCTCTTACTCGGTTCCCAATTTTCTACTTCGTTTTGTTTCATTTTCTTCACTTATCCTCTTTCCCTTTGTTTTAGATGTTTATTTCTAATTTTTTCTTTTGTTTCTTTTTGCGTTTTATGTTCTTCTTCTTTACTTCTTTTTTTTTCGTTTTGCTGCTATGTGATTTTCCATTGCTAAATTGCTAAAAAAAGTGCTCCCTCTTAATTTCTTTTTAGTTCAATTGAGCGATAATACTGTATTTAAAAGCACATTTTTATCATGACTTATAATAAGCTGCTTATTTGTCGGTCTGTAAGTCTGTCTGTTACGAAAATACAGTGAGGAATGATTTACAATTCTTCGGAGCATGTGAGGTTCTGATAGCGAGTATGATTCATTTTTATTAGGACTCTCTCACCGCAGTCAACCTGGCAATAATCTTAAAAAAAAGCCTTTACATCGTAAGTTTACCATCGTTTCTTGATGGCCAGTGCGAGCCTCTGCGAAGCAGAGGTGAAGAACTGGTTTAAGATATCATGACAGTTAACAGATATTTATGGTTTCCTCACAGTAATATGTTACAGTATTGCCTCACAATTATTTCTTTGATTAAGAAACATCCATGAAACTTACCGATCTAATAAACAAGAAAATTTGCGATTGCTTATTGAAACTACAATTTCTAAATTCATTATACATTTATAACAATACAATATACAATTCAATTTTGCAATTATGTTTTACCCGCTGTCTGTTTTGTTGAGAAAATTAGAAAGATCTGTAAATATTATAGCTTGATTTACCTTTATAATCTTATTTACACGTTGAAACCTTTCAAGGTCTTGATTACCAATATTTTTGCTAGTCGGTAATATCTATCTCTGAATGTTGTATATCCTACGCATTGCGGTGACCAATGTTCCCCTGAACAAAGCTTGTATTTTGGGTTGCTTGGGTATCCTTGAAGGTTAATTACCGAATTTCGAGCTCCTTCTTGGTAGCTGCCATCGCCTTTCCCAAGATCTTGGCAGCTCGTGTAAGTCATCCTGAGACGGAAAATGATTAATGTTGTTCCATGAGGTATCAAATTCACGTACTAACCCTCAGCGCAAGAAGTAGATTTTCCAATTTTGCTAGTCCTAATGGAATCTCCGCAGTTGAGTCCGGTGAGGCTGGCGGAGGCCTTTGAGGATGCTTTCGTTTGTTCTGTTGTTTGCGACGATTTTGCTATTTTCTTTATTTTCTTTTTCATTTCCAATTGAACAAACATGTTCAGTAAGTAATCTCTCTCTGGTCTTTCTATTTTCCAGTTTACCGATTTTGAACAGTTGCCATCTATGAGAAACATCATTTGTCACTATGGGGTGTTTGAAAAATGTCTGGGCATATTCTTTCCCAATAGTTTCTGAATATTAGAAGCAATGTTCATTGCGTTTCCTAAAATTTCTTGTGCTCTTCTCTTTTGCCAAACTAGATGCCTGTTCTTTCCATGTGATAGTTGGAATATATGCGTTGTCTTTACTTTGCATTGCTTTAACAAGGTTTAATTTTTGACTTGAAATGTCAAGATTGGTTTGGCATGGGGCAGCTAAGTCATTACAGCAGTTTCGTCGAAGTTACAGCTTTTGAGTCTACTATATTTCTGTGCTTTTAAGCAATAATTGCGAAATGCTCTTAAAGCCTCTAAGAGTTGTGAAAAAGATTGTAGTTTCGTTGTTACTGAACAGTTTCGCTGTTTTCTGTCAAAGTTTCAGATCTTACATTGTTGTTTATTGTTGATTTCTTCTTGCCGTAAGTGGTCGCCATGCATTGAATGATTGCGCTGCGCTTAAATTGTTTGCGGTTTCCAAATGCACTGTTCTCGTTGTCATGCATGTTACCAAAACGACCCATCTTTTGACTTCTTTGTTTTCAGTGAGTGTTCGCAATGGCCCGCTAAATCGATGCTCACATATTGGAAGGGGTGGCAGGGATCCGTACGTTGTCGAGGCAAGGAAGGGAAACGAAACTTGGATGCAAGTAAGGTCTTCCATTCCATCTATTACATATTTAATCAAGCAATCTTTTACCACTTGACGCCCACGCGGTATCGAAACCCTTGAGCGTAAATTTGCGAGAGTGGCGTTAGTGCCTTGATGACCAGATTTTTGATAATAGTCTCGAATTATAGTTCTTGTCAACGGGTGTTGTGGAATGAGGAGAATTGGTTCCTGTATGTCTCTTGCCAATAATCAATTTTTATTCTGCGATTGCAACGCAATATCCCTTCTTCTTATATATTAGGTTGTCCCGAAAGTTTTGTCCGTTTTTTCAACCTATCATAAAAACGCGAACGAAGATAGGGAAACGATCTAAGCACTATCCGACGCATCTTTTCCTTCTCTTTCTGACTGTCATAATCTTATGCAGATTACTCTTTTGCTCACTGAGATAAACGCCGAAATTTCGAACACATGGTTTTTACTATGTCCAAGTTTGGCAATTTTTCACAATCTTTATTTTTGACTTTCGGAAAAGCTTTGGCAACAGTTAGATAGAGCAAACAAAGGGCAATATAATGCAATTTTGCGGCATCTATAGCTAGCCTTGAAAATTTTTTAGAATTATTTTTCTGATGCTATCAAATTCCACTTTTGGTGATGCCAAAAGCCAGAGATCATGAAACGGCGCACAACTAAGATATTATTCGATGCAGCTTTTCCTCCTCTTCCCAGTGAGTGTATTTTCTCTCCAATTTGCGGAGTCCTTGGCAATAAAATTTTCATAATTCTTGAATTTGACCTTACTCCAGCGTGTACACGTAAAATGCAAAATCTTATATTTCGAAGAGGTAAGCGCTCATTTGCTTCGTAAAAACAGTGAATAATCGTAATCGGTTTTTGAAAGCTTCAAAATCCGATGTTTGTTAGTGTTCGAGGCGTTTCTGTATTTTAGAACTTCGCAAAAGTGAAGACTTTTCAAAAAATTATCTCTAAAAATATTGGAAAGCCAGCTAGATAAGCCAGATAATTGCATTGCATTGCCATTTGCTTACTCTATCTGAGGGCTATCAAAGGCTTTCCAAAAGTTGAAAATGAAGATTGTGAAAAATTGTCAAACTTGGACATAGTAAAAACCATGGGTTCGAAATTTCGGCGTTTATCTCAGTGAGCAAAAGAGTAATCTGCACAAGATTATGACAGTTAGAAAGAGGAGGAAAAGGTGCGTCGGGTAGTGCTTGAAGCGTTTCCCTATCTTTGTTCCACGTATTTTTATGATAGGTTGAAAAAACGGACAAAACTTTCGGGACAACCTCATATATAGCTGAATGTCTGTTTGTATGTCTGTCTGTCTGTCTGTCTGTACGTATGTTCCGAATAGAAAATTCCATTTCTGAACCGATTGGGACCAAACTTAGCACACATACACCTCGGGCCCCGGCGGGTGTTATAGGCTACTTTTTGTTATCGATCGATGTCGATTTTATCGACTTTTTGCAAAATTTGAGCTAGGGGGCTGGAATTTGGCAGAGGGGTGTAATCGAGCATGCTGATCACCCCCGTGGGGATGATCAGCATGCGCGATTACACCCCTCTGCCAAATTCCAGCCCCCTAGCTCAAATTTTGCAAAAAATCGATAACATCGACATCGATCGATAACGAAAAGTGGACTGTGACACCCGCCGGGGCCCGAAGTGTATGTGTGCCAAGTTTGGTCCGGATCGGTTAAGAAATGGAATTTTCTATTCGGAACATACGGCGGAGCCGGGTAAGCCAGCTAGTCATCTAAAAAAATTCCAGTTCTTGATATTTACAGTCATCTTTTGATTTGCCTTTGAATGAGTTTGATGACCGCTTCTTCAGCAAACTTCAAATCGCCGGTATCGCATTGAAGAAGTGGTTTTTGTGTAGTAATGGCGGCCATTCCAGGTATTGCATTTTCTAATTATTCCTTGTTTTTTGGTTTAAGTTTATCGTATACAATAATCTTGAGCACTTTGATTGCCAATGATATTTTTTTTGCATTTCGCAAGATTTGAATATTGCTCAAGGCGTGTATATGATTGTTCCCTTATCATGCTGAGCTGATTCAAGGCAGTGGCTCGGCAAATCTCAACCTAATCAAATTTGCGCTTACCTGGGGTTATTCAATACGCTGATCCCGAAAATCCACTTTTGAAAGCTTGAAAAAGGCGAAAATTAGCGTTTTTTAACGCCCTTCCCTTTGGAATTGGACGAGTGGAGCAAGGCTGATGATGCTAAATCGTTGCAGGACCAAATGGTTATAGCATTGCGGCGATCAGCCTCCAATGGTGAGAAGGAAATTGCCAACTCGTCCGGATGAGTGTAAGATTGGCCTGCGCGTGTAAGTTTGAGAGCAATTTTTTCGACAGGGAAAGCATGCTGTGCAATCGAGATTGCACTGTTTTCATACTTGGGCGATAAGGAACCTACCGCTTTGAAATCCTGACTTGTTAGATTTTGCCGATCCACTGCCTTTCACGATTAACTTTTTATTGTCACAATTTTCCTTCGCCTCTTCGTTTTGTCAGTTGAAAGTTACCAGAGTGGGCCATTTTTTGTTTTCCGTTTTTTAAAATTCCGGTCCATGCCACCAGTAGTTGCTCATTTGGCTTTTAGACAGTGCTCTAGTGGCGCAATCTGCTTGGTTATTAGCCTTTGGTATGTATCGAAGATGTACTTGCTTACGGTTTAAAGCCATGTTCCCATGATTTTCCTTATATATCTTATTCTATCTTCCACAAAAAATCCATTGTTATCTTGTGATTGCAGCCAATGTAGGGCGCATCTAGAGTCGCTGCAAATGCTTACGGTCTCAATTTTTACAAACATTTCTTTCAGAACGAAATCCGTTATACCCGAACTCCTTTGAGTGCTGCGAGAAGTTCAAGTCTTGGGATTGTTAGTGATTTATTTTGATAGGAGTTAATCGTTGCCTTGCCATAAGCAGTTTGTTTTCGATGTTTCTGTGGCTAAGGGAGTGTAGGTAGACGACTGCTGCGTGGCTTTGAGAGATGCATCTGTAAATGTATGGAGTTCGTAACGATAATTTGCCTGATATGTGCGATCATTCGAGGGATTGTTGCTACAAACTCCGCCGCGTTTTCGCAAATTGTTTCCCATTCGCCCTCTTCTTCAGGGGTCAGCAAGTCGTCCCACGCGCGTTTATGTTTCCAAAGAGTTTGGAGAAACACTTTTGCTGGCATCAACAGTGGTATGAGGTAACCTAGGGGGTCATAAGTTGCATCATCCGAAATTTGTAATATTTTCCTTTTTGTGTATTTTTTGATTAATATTTTGGGTTTTTCATTTCTAATGATGTTACCCTTTCGGATTTAGTTATTTCTATTATCGGCAAAGATTTATTTTACATACTCGTTGCCACCTAAAGTCTCAAGGGGCCAAATTTGTTCGGTTTTTTTTCGTTTTGTTACTGAAGCCAACATAAAGTACATTCATACTGTGAATGCTTGCTGTCGCGAGATTTGCAATATTTTCCTTCAAAGCGAAATTTTTAAGTATTGCAAGCAATTCAGGTTGTGAAGTTGCTAACTTGCTCAGTGAAACCTTGATCTTGCTTTGCGTTGGATGCGTTTTTCTCAATGTGTTTGCAGAAACAATTCTTGCTGGGTCAATTGTGGTTTAAGATAATATAGAGGGGCATGGTTTGCATGTGTAATTTGCTGTACTTTGCTTTCAAATTCTTAACGAATACTGCAATTTACATTGCTTGCTAAATTATATTGGGATTCCACAGATAGCAGGATTTTTGCTTTGCTTGTTGAAAAGTCTTTTTTCCGTATGGCGATAACGCGGTTTGCCTGCAGTTCACCATGCATTTTCCTTTCGATATCTTTTTGATTGGATAGCCTATTTGATAGATATACCTAGAAGAAAAGGAGCATTTATTCGAAGGGATAGTTTGCAAAATTGTAGAATTCTTACATTTCCATTGACCAGTCGTTGCGAATTGTCATTTACCATAAAAATATTACCGAGTTTCTTTCAGTTTCGTGCAGATGAATGATGTGAAATGCTTTCTCCACATCTGCTATCAAAATTTTTTTTCCTATACGGGATCTAATCAATATGCCTATATTGTAATACCAAGGATTTTCCTTTGGGTTCGTCTATGGCATCTTCGACAAATTTCTTTACAAGCTGTTCCTTCATTATGTTGTAATATTCTTTCCAGCCCTTTGAATTTTTTTTTCATATTGTGTAGTTAATGCAAACGATTGAGAGCTAGACTATAGTTGTCTGCATGCTAGTTTTGTTATTTTTCCAAAGGAAGCAGACATATATCTTTCCATCTTTTAATTTTACAGTTGAATAAATAGTTTGTTGAACTTGTTGCCTTTCTTCTTCTACTGTTAAGGGTTTTTGCGTGTCTATTCTCGGAAGTTTCCTTAATCCTGAATAGTCTTAGGAATGTTGTTGTATTTGAAAATTTTTGTTGTTGTTGCATGAACATATTAATTGATTGTACATACTCTCAGCTTTAGATTCTACCACATTGGATGCTTCCGAGATGATTGGTCCCAAGAAGGTCTGCCTTACGAACAGTTCGGATGGCAATTGTGTAGCAGGGGGTGTATGTCGAAAGGCACGCGTTTCGGCAGTCACCATTGCCAGGAGGGATATGTACTCTCAAAAGCGAGGTTTCCAAGCTCCTAAAGTTTTGTCATTATATAAGAAATAGTGATAGAGGATTACTAGTTGGATCCTAAGAGTGCTAAACTGATTTCGCACTTTTTCCTGGTTTTTCTGATTAGTGACATTCGATCAATACGCGGCATTCGACCGTCTCCCGTGTAGCAGGTATGTTGAGTTGGATCGCGTAACTGAAGTAGTCCATCCCTATGAGAATTCCCGGGTCAACGTTTCCTTGTAAATCTTTCAATATTCTCTGGAATTATTGTTTTCAATCCTTTTATGTCTTTCCAAATTTAGATTTATAGTCATATTATCATGTGTCAGTGATTCTGCATCTGGACACTGCCCATCTCTGTTGTACAGTTGCACAACTACTTTCCTTACGCGATAGATTTCCTTCTCCTCCAAACGTGATGACCCTAATTAAATTTTTTACTCCCACTGATAAGGGCAGTTGCAGTAAGATGTTTCGTTGTAAGTGATTGGTCTGCTGTTGAGTCTAGTACGCCTATTACTGTTGCCACTGTACCACCTTAGTGATTTCGTATTAGAATAGGGATGGACATTATCTGCCGCTTTGTGCAGTCGTGTTTTCTTCGTAAAGCAATTGCTTTTCCATCAAGTTACCTTGAATGGTAGTAAAATGTACATTGTAGGGCTTCTTTTGCAATATAGGTTTGGAAATCTAACTTTGTTCGTCATATTACCTTGTTGGTCTTTCCACCTTACATGATTGGGTTTTTGAGAATGCCTTTTCATGGATGGTGTACGGTTCTTGTAGGAACTACTACGATGTCAATGAGATATTCTTCTATGGAAGGATATCCTTATACTGGGCTTTTAGAACTTTTTGGATTCGTTGCCAAAGACGATTCTTCCCTAATGGGCTTATCATAACGACAAATGATGGGATTATGATGCCCGTAACACTTTAGACATTTTGCCGGTCACATGCTTACGTGTGGTGATATAGGCTGAAGCATTTCCAACGTGTTTTTCAGCCTTGAGTCGCTCTATTTTCTGTGAGGATGTTCTCAACCTAAACTGGAACAGCACCTGGGATAATGGGATTTGTAGCCCTTTATCGTCCCTTAAAACTTTCTTTTCAAACTTCAAGTTTCCGAGCGATAAATTCGCCATGAGAGGAAGCTTGAGACAGAACTCGCTTCTTGGTCTTGATTTTTGCGCGTTTCCTTGCTCCTTTTCTAGCTTCTTGGCACTTAGCTCACCAGACAATTTCAATTGGTTATGACTAGACAGTTGTTTCCAATCGAAACTTTCTCTCTTTTCCTAGTGTCTTTTAAATTGCCTTTGAAGCTTTACATCTTTCTGACTTTTCCTCCGGCTTGCACGTTTAGTTGTATAAGCTTCCAAATGAGTGCCTTTGCATAAGCAATACATCGAGTAATGTAGTTGCTGGTAAGATTTTCATTTGTGTTCGGCTTCTTCACCTTTGACAACTCGAGTTGCCTTGTCAACTTCATCTTGTTATTTTCAGGCTGGATGCATCATGGAGAGGACGGAGGAATAATGTATAAGGATGATAAAGTAGTCTGGGGCGCCCCTTTTTTACGTATAGTCCCCTGATCAATGCTTTTTTGTCATTTCCCATTTCGTGAGAAATCTGTATCACGATTTCCGTGCTTTATCGCAGTTGATGTGAGATGTGATGTAGTTCTTTTTTTTTCTCAAGAACTATTTTATTTCTTTCGGCTTGCAGGCTTTCTTCTTCTCTCGAAATTTTGGGAACTATACTTTTTCATTACCATCGTCACTTTTCTTTATGGCTGCAACATTTTTTAAGCCAGCTTACTTATTCAATTTATTATTTATCCTTATTTCCGCGGAACACACATTTTGCCGAAGGGAGTCCTTTCATTCTATTTTCAAGTCTGGGAAACGTTCCGTTTCAAGTCAAGGAAAGCCGCTGGGCATGACCTTAAAACTTGCGAGCGGCGGGCCCTACCAGAGCCGCTTTGCCAAACCTTTGCGGTTCCCTTGCTTATTTAAGCCGTTCAATGGCTAGTCTTTCTCGACCTTTACCAGTTCGGCCGATGCACCATGTTCGCACTGCATCACATGCGATAGGTTTGGGTGGTTCATATCACATCTCATTTTATTTTATATGTTTATTAAACAAGGTTTACATATATACACATTACGATTATACAGACATTGCTATTTACCTTTTCCCTTTCCTTGTTGCCTGGTCTAGCCTTTAAGGACGTGTTACATACAAAAGGAGTGGTCGAGAGGAATTTTGGAGCTCCTTAAGCTCCTTGACTCTTCCCTTAAGTATTATTCTGCTACGTCAAAACATAGATAAGCGATAACAGTGGAATGTTATGAGAACGAACCGTAAGACTAGATAGCAGATGTTGTGGGAAACATGATTCGTCAGAGTCATGACACTAATTAACTTCAGGCAGAAAATTTTATTTAATACTTTGAAGGTATAAAAATGTGCGTATAAAAAAGATTTTGATTCGTGGACCCTTCCAAGGAGAAGACTACCGCTCTAACACTACCCATATACACCCACTATCATGCGTCTACATTACATGGAACTCAAATTTAAGATTCTCTTTGCATCAAAATGATTAGTACGAGAGTTGATTTAGATGAAAAAAACTTTTCTTCCCCATTCATCTGACACATATAATTTTCCGTTCATTCGATGTTTTCATTGATTCTACAATAACCAACTAAGGGGAGGAATCTCCTGACTTTGAAGAGAAGGGAAAAAATAAAGATTGCTCTTAGTCTGAATATCTCATAACAGGTCGTCTTCTAACAAGCTCATGGTTCTGAAAACAGGGGACCAGACGGCGATGATACCCTTTTCGTTGTCCTAGCTGCTCATGTACAAAAGTTACAGTTTATTTGGTTTTGTCAAGTTAACTTCTGGACGCATGGTAGTAATCCGTCACACTTCGCGCTGAGTTTGTATTTGAACACAAATAGAGAACAAAGATAAGGGCGTTTACCTGACCTATTCAAGACAACAATGAGTGTAGTATCGAACCCCAAATTTAAGGGCGGAAATGGGTAGTTTGTAAACGTTATGGTTTGCTAAACGAGAGAGTTCAAAAAGCAATGCTACCATGTGGAGGTTCAACAAATTGATCAACATATGCCTTTGGCGTTCCGCCCTCTCCCGTGTCTCGAAGCCAGCAATTCTGTATTTTCTCAGGCATCGTAAACGCACTACTAAGAATATCTATGATTATTACCCTCGACAGCTCAGAGCAGCCAAAATCCGACCAGCGTTCTGATGCGCATTTACACAAATTAAAACTTAGTATTCTAAGACTCTATATCTCCACTGCATTCACAAAATATATGGGATGGTCTTCTACAGTCCAGAGGTTAGCGTTTTTTCCTTTTGCTTGCATTTCAAGTGCAAAATTTTTTACATTTGATTGTATTTCATGTATGCAGCTAACATCCTAATAAAATTAGTTCTAACACTTTTCGAAGCGTTATTTTCCTGGTTTATCTAGGTCTAACTACTTTTCTTTCTTCCCTAGTCTTACAAAGACTATTTTCCTCAGAATGCCTAGTTCAGAAAACAATAAAATTGCAGAAAATTTGTCAATAAAGTACCAGGAAGAACTAAATTGTTCTTCTAAGCAAGATGTCAATCTCTCTTTTCGCTTAAGTGTAACTACTACTACTAAATTTCAACAACAAAATCAATTATTCTTTTATGAGGGTTCCAATAAATAAATCGAATTCAAAATACATTCTTGCCTTGTTTGAAGTTTTCATTATAAGAAATCCTGCCCTAATTTTCTTTTATCCTGCACTGATATTTGTGATGAGTAGCCTTTCATCTTACCCGGGATCATTTCGCTACTGCTACTGGAGATTGCATAGTGAGTTTCAATAATATAGAAGAGCACGAAAAGGAGGAAAAGACTAGTCCAAATTTTTTTCCAATGACAGAAAACTATTCTTACGAGTGGTGGATACCTATCTCCTGCTCCCTTCGGTCAGCACCAAGTTTTCCTCATTTGGTGTTTTAGTAGGCTATTCTTCAAGGAAACTCTTACAGTTACGATTATTTCAAGCCTTCAAATTTTGTACCTAGAACATTTCGCTTTTAAGAATTATCAGTCTTTGCTGCTTCGTAATGCTAGCATAAACAATCGTTACAACATCTAAATTGTCTTTATAACGACAAAAAAAACCCTAACTCTTTGGACGGTTGCCTTGTCATTCTATGAAAGAAGTTTAGTCATGAGTTCTCAGTGCTTGTTTCGCTCTAAGTAAACTTCGAATTCTATAGCATAACGTGATTCAGTAACAATCTCATTTGAAAGCGCTATGAGCGCTTCGTTTTGGGATAAAAACCCAATTGATCTTGGTTGGAAGATGAACAAACCTCAGTCAGGGCTCGACACGAAGTGGCTCTAGCAATTCTTTGGAAACGAAGTTCCCATTTTACAACAACATCCGACATTTCCTATGACACCATGAGCGAAACAAACATACATAACAAAGAAGAATAAAACACAATACAAAGGCATGCGATAGACGACAAAGAAAAACTTATTATGTTTTAATACTCCGGTTGGCGTGCCGTGTCCGGCGGGCAGAATGCGAGCTTGGAGCGGATTGTCGCCCATACCATGTTTTGGGAAGGCTGTAGTTAGGCGAGGAGAAGAGCTTTGGGGAGTTTCAAAAACTAATTTGTCGGGTTTCAGAGTTAGATTGGTGATGTAAAAAAATATGAGGAAATTGTGTAAAAAGAAGGAAATCTATGAATTTATTTTCTCTAAGCTACCTCACGTGGCCCTCCAGATGTTCAAGAATCACCTAACTCCGAAAAAAGTATGTCACGCGCTCAGTTTACATATTGTTTTTTGCTTTTTCATGCGGTTCCAACTTCCTACTGCTCTCTACAGCCATTTTTCATGTCATATCATTTCTTTTTCCTGTAAACATGCCTTCCGTTTATTTTGCTGCACATTCAAATTTCCGCGCTTGCACGGAGGGCATATTGAAGCAGGAAAATAATCTCCAGAAAAATCTCCCTTTCTCCAGAAAATGAGTGGGTATAATGAAAGAGGTGGACCCCCCCCCTCTCTTCTCGCTCCACCATTGTCCCAAAACTTTCCACGCTGCCCTCAAGCCTGTGCTGAGTCCTTTACCAGTCCGACTGAATAGATGGGGGAGGGATAGAAGGGACATGACTACCGCAATGCCTTCGAGAAAGTTTTATGAGTTATGAATCATCAAAATATGGAAGAAGAATTCCACTTGTTTGCATTGAAAACAAGTCCTTCGGACAGTTTCCGATGCTAGAATGCAAATAACAGTAGATCCTTTATCTCTCGAACGAGTTCAGTTGGAGAACCTGCTGATCATGAGTTGTTGCGTTTGTGAGAAGGGAGTAAACACAAAATGCAAATTTTGCGAAACTGAAGGATCATACCAAATTCTAAAGAAGTTTAATATCGGATGATGCATATAAACTATATTATATTATCATGCATGTATCGAATGAACCTTTTGGTATAGTTCTTGCTTTTTACATTCTCTGATCGAATTCAATTTTTGTGGCCCAATTTTCAATTCGTAGCTCATAGCGTTAATGCGTTTTCTATATTCAGCCGAAAGAATTTTCGTCATTGTATTCGTCATTTATTCTGCTTGTCCTTTCTTGTGCCCACGTATGTGTTAAGTAAAGCAGGATTATTTGCAGAATTTTGAGCACAAGATTGAGAGTAGTTCAAGAAATCAAAAGGAGATGAGCACGAGTATAAACAACGAGCTGGCATCCAGGTCCGCTATATTAGAGCCAGTTCATTGTGCTTGACCTCTCATGTAGCAAAACCTACACTTCTTATACTTCCGACCCGTCTTGGCTTCGCCTCGTAATGTTCCTTACATGATGACAAGCAGATCAAAGTGAGCTCCACCGCTTATCCTTCATATGGGAAATGTGCGTAGACATACAGATTTTCTGCTTTATATATAGAGATGATTAGAGGAAGAATGGAAACGAGACATTCATGTTTGAAAATACCACATTTCGTGGTAAACCTTCGATTCTTTCTCTCGACTAGTGAACCAGTAATTAAAAGTGCTGATTGCATCCGCGCGCTTCGGGACTGCACCGCGGTTTCCCGCTATTTGCAGATTTTTAAAATGAGTTAGCGATTCTTTATATATTAGATAGTCTATTTGTAAGGACATTGCTCTAACCATCTAAGACCAGGGTGGATCAAGAGGCTAGGCACAAGGCCTTCAAAAACGACTCCCTAACCCCTTGTGGAAGCCCTTAAACGACCCCCTTGCTTCACCTCTAGGACCTTACGCTTTATGTTGAAGAAGATCAGCCTTTACTGGAGCTGGAGGGTCTTGTTTTTTAGAACTGTAGGCCCAACTTTCTGCGATTGCAGAAAGTCGTACCTACAGTGCGAGTCGAAGAGGCTTTGACTCAAGACTAATCCTCGAAAAGGAGCGATTTTTGAGTATTGAAGGCAAGTTAAAGGCAGCGGCTCGGCAAATTTCCAACTTCGGAGTTTTGACAGATTTGAGGTTATTCCGGCCCCCTGAATCACGATATGAACTCCCCTTAGCGCGAAAATGGGGGAAAACCCCATCTTTTGAAACCCCTCCTGAGACGGGCGCGGACGAGTGAGCCGTTTTTCTCTGCCGTCAGAGATGCAGAATAAGGAGATAGAGAACGCTGTCCTACGAAGCTACGAATGACGGCACGTTTTCTAGCGGAGAACATACTCGTCGCACAAGGTGTTTGGGGAGCGAAAGGAGGAAGGGGAGCGGAGCTTGGCTCCACTTGGAGGGCCTCCTATCCATCTGTGTGAAATTCTGAGGTAGGTCTATTCTGCCTAGCCGCTGCCTTCATAGGGGCCAGGCGCTAGGCTACAAAAGCTCAGGCAGCTTGACCTTTTGAAGGTTGCCTGACTCCATTAACTTCATTTCCGAAGAAGTTAACGGAGTACCCAGAGAGTTTACACCCAAGTTTTATGTGATTTGCTAGCAGATTCTCCAGCTTGAGCATGCTTCATCTTGCTTCGGCATAGTGGCAATCGTGGAGTTGAAGCAGTTAAGGTGAAAAACGCGCCGGGTTGGAACTTTGGTAGCACTTCTTATTTCACTATTTGAAAGCGATATTGAGCCTGATTCCTAGCATAGACTTGTAAAGAACATTAATTTGTTATGAGTATAAATTAGCTGACTTTTTCATTTTTAAAACCATAATTAATCGTAGTTGAAAATAAGTGCTCTTAGACTTTAAGAGACTCTAGAAAATGCAGTAGGTAATGGTTTGTAGAGCTCACAAAGCAATTTGACATCTTGTTTACGGAAATGATATCCATTGCGCACAGCAAGCTTTGCTCACCTATGATATGTCAAGGTAAAAGGTGGAGATTTGATTTTTCCAAGCGAGGCGGCTCGCGAGGAGTAGAACCACGTTGATTGACACTTAGATTGATAGCCCCTTTATGTCGAGTAAAACCGCAGCAGGCTGCGTTGCGCAACAATACGGAAATGCTCGCACAAGGATACGACCCGAGAGCTACGGATGAACGAGAAACCACGCAGTGTGAATTCGTAGGGAGCGGCGGCTGGTGGGTGGGGCTCAAGCCCGCGCGGCCGCCTCGTCTGGCTCTGCACCTCTCTGCGATCGTCCTCCCCGCTGATTGAAGCCTCCCCTCCCCCCTTTCCCACGCTCGTGGTGGGAAAATCATCAGAAGGCACGCCCAAGAAAAGGTGAAGAGCCCAAGCAACCCACCCACCACCACTCCCGATGAATCCAAGGGTAGTAGCCAACTTCCCAGAAACCATCTCGCTTTTAACACATTCACGACAAGGCAATTTTTCGATTACTGCCATTTCGGACCAGAGCCTTTTTCGCTTCGTCAAAATTACGACCCACCGGTGAATCGTATTGCCCGAAATGGCAGAACACGTACGACCCACAGGTGGGTCGTATTGTCGTAAATGTGGTAATACCTATACCGCGAATACGGATGCCGCGAAAAAGCATGCAGTTTTGTCGTTAGTCAACGAGAGACCTCATTTTATGGAATGAGTTCCATAATATTGTAGCTTTCCAGTTCCGATTAAAATGAAGTCTTCAAATTCTACCACACATGAGGGTGTTTCCTTGGAAGATAGGAACAAGATCTTGACATCGAATGGTAACCAAATCACCTATGTTGCTGCGGTGCATACCGGCATAATGAGCACTGTTTTTCTCTGAAAATCAAAGCAGATTAAAATTGCGACGTCGCACGTGTTGTTCTCATTGCCCCCACTATGTTGAAACCATTGCTCGACCTGCCATTGCATCTAAAGAAGCGGCGGCAAAGCTCAATAAGATTATTCTGAAAGCGCGGGCCTAGGCCTTTGAGCTCATATCTTCGGGGTATGGCAAATTCACTGTGAAATTCAAGGAGACCCTATAAACCGCGTGCTGCACCATGTGCAGCACCCAGTCCGAAACGTGCTTATGGCTGCGTTCATACTGATTCCCATGTTCTGAAACTGTTCCCGCACAGTTCTCGCACTGTGCTGAAACTGTGCGGGAACTGTGCGGGAACAGTTCCAGAACTGTGCTGCATGCGCTGCAGCCGCCCCGCACCGTTTTGAACGGCGGGAGTTGGAGAATTTTGACCGTTTTCAACGGTTTTTCTTCCAGATTTCGCTCATTTTGGCCTTAATCCTCCACCCCGCTTCCCTTTTTGATCAGCAGCACTGCGAACTCGAAGCGGGGTTGAAGAATGAGCGCTTTTCTGCGCCGTATATTCGGAAAGATGGGCTATCGTGCGATTGTTCATCTGTCTTCTTCTTTTTTGCTCAAAACTACTTCATTTGTTCCAGGAAGCGGCTGCCCAGTTTCCATAGCCATCTGCCACGAATTAGGGAGTAGGAGAAATCCTGAAATTGCATGAGTTGGGACTTGTCTCTTGTTTTTCATGATTTTGGGCGTTCTTAGCCTTGTTCGTTTTTCAATGTCGTTGCTTCTCCGTTCTTTCTTCTACCCCGCTTCTCCTAGTGATGAAAAGCTGTGATTTTGAAGCGGGGTTGAGGATTGAACGCTGTTCTGCTCCATGTATCCGGGAATATGGGCCTTCGTGCGCTCGTCCATTCTCTCATCGCTATTTTTGTTCAGACCTATTCATGTGTACTTACAAGTCGCGTAGTCTCGCTTTTGTATTGAAATTGAAATAGACGACTCTGGAACAAATGAAGTAGGTCTGAACAAAAATAGCGATGAGAGAATGGACGAGCGCACGAAGGCCCATATTCCCGAATACATGGAGCAGAACAGCGTTCAATCCTCAACCCAGCTTCAAATTCACAGCTTTTCATCACTAGGGGAAGCGGGGTAGAAGAAAGAACGGCATTGAAAAACGAACAAGGCTAAGAACGCCCAAAATCATGAAAAACAAGAGACAAGTCCCAACTCATGCAATTTCAGGATTTCTCCTACTCCCTAATTCGTGGCAGATGGCTATGGAAACTGGGCAGCCGCTTCCTGGAACAAATGAAGTAGTTTTGAGCAAAAAAGAAGAAGACAGAATGAACAATCGCACGATAGCCCATCTTTCCGAATACACGGCGCAGGAAAGCGCTCATTCTTCAACCCCGCTTCGAGTTCGCAGTGCTGCTGATCAAAAAGGGAAGCGGGGTGGAGGATTAAGGCCAAAATGAGCGAAATCTGGAAGAAAAACCGTTGAGAACGGTCAAAATTCTCCAACTCCCGCCGTTCAAAACGGTGCGGGGCGGCTGCAGCGCATGCAGCACAGTTCTGGAACTGTTCCCGCACAGTTCCCGCACAGTTTCAGCACAGTGCGAGAACTGTGCGGGAACAGTTCCACAACATGGGAATCAGTATGAACGCAGCAGCTGGTTATGTTCCCACTTGTGCAGGCGTGACCGAGGGCTTTCATCTTCACCGTAGTAAAATTTCCAAACCATCAACTTTTTCCGGAGATTGCCTTCAAACGAACACTGTATCAAAATAATGTCCTCTGGTTCTGCTGTCAGCTGTTCTTCTCTGTACATATCAATCAGATTTATGTTGAAAGTAATCAAACACGCATACTATTTCAAAAGCAAGCAGCAAACTTTGAACTTCTCAAATTTTCAGCTTTGAAGATGCTACTTTGACTGATTGCTTCAGCTTTTTCATGAAACGAGCTTACCGAAGTCCTCTGTTGTAAAGACCAGCAGACGGAGATTTCAACAGACCATAGTTTTGCAACTAATCATTATATTCTAGAAACGCACGTATGACACGCAACACATGATGCTAACAGTCCACCTCCGAAAAACGAAAAAACCATAAGCAATGCGGCAATTTTTCTTCTTAACAGCGTTTCGGGAGACACTGGCTCCTCTTTGACCATTCTGCACTAGCTCAGCTTTCACGAATGTCTAGTACTGCGCTGTTCTGCTGACTTTACGATCCGCAAACCGAAAATGATTTTTGCTCCTGCTCGAGTTCCCAGGTTGGTGAGCGTTCCATTTTCAACGATATCCAGCCGCTCAAGCAAGATTCAGAAAATTGCCTGACCCTCAAGTTATGCGTTTGCTCTATTTTGATAAATACGGGACGATCAAGGGTGCGATTTATCTATCTGCCACCAAAATGAACTTCTTGAATGTTTTGCGAGTCTCAAAAATATAGCAGATTAAGCGATTCGGCTTAAATTTCTACGTAGTTATCACTAGCTGTACTTACCCGCTTTCACTCGAACATGAAAACTAAGCACTAGGCTGTTCTTAAAGTTCCGTCCGATTCTCAGTTGCTTCGTGTTCAGCGCAGCTATTTCGTACAAGCTGCGCACTCAATGAAGTATAATGTACACCATTTAAAAGATTTTCTATGCTTCTTTTTGATGGTATCTTATCGGAATATCCATATTACAAAACACAAGTTATTAAAATGCACTCATGCTCAAGAATAATGTTCTATGAAAGGAATCTTCGCATTATCCATAGAATTATTTAGATAGACCTTCATAGTGAAGGGTGCAATGGGCTAACATATGCGCATTTGCGCACTTTTACTCCGACACAGAAATTGGCTGAGCTTCTGTCCCCAAAGATTGTAGATTTTAGCTGTTCTTCAGCGCCAGTTTACGCATAGCGACAATTGCGTTACGACGAGTTGAATGCGGTCTTTGCGCACACAGGAGCATACAACACCCTTAACGTTTAGCACAGTGACTTGTAGTGTCTATCACTAGTGTTTGCAAGTACTATCACATGTAAGCAGAAAAACCACCTGAGTAGAGGTAGAAACCAAGAAATGGAAGTGCATCCGTGTCGCGCGCGGTCGCGCCATCGTCACGATTTTTTGAATGCCCTATACTCGATATTGTACAAGTTTAAGCAAGGGCAAGTAGGAACCATCATACGATTGACCTTTCTATCCCCATGAAATAATAACCAATAAGTGCTGGCCATACTAAGAGCCATATTAAAAGTCACGGTAATGCCCAGTCTTGGATGAAACTGTTTTAACAAATAAGTGTGTAAACCAACCTTACATCACTGTTCAGGACGGCTCCAGATTTCGCTGGTTTTAGCCGCAGAAAAATTGAAGAATAAAAAAAACGTGTTTAGAGGGCTGGTCAAAGCTATAGAGCTGCCTATTATTTTCACTGAACTGCAGATGAAGCGTTTTAACTCCAACTTGTGTCTTCGTCTTTGCGAAGATTCTGGCAACATTTCATAAATCGTTATGCAAACAAAGTGGAACTTTAGGCCAGAAGCTTTTACGCGCCGGAATTCGAGTTTTTAGGGTCAAAAGCCCAATTACATCCATGGTAAGATTGAAGCTCGTTCATCAACATGAGCGACTACACAAGATGACTTAGGCGCCCTTCACCGCATTCATTGTAAAGGCTGAATTCTAGTGCCTTCATCCGAATTGAATAAGTGCTTGAAAATTCAGTGAACTAACAGTTTTTAAACCATGTGACTTTTTATGCACTTTGAAGCAAAAATGCAGTATAAATTTTTTTTCTTTATATAAGGCGTTAGCACCTGAGTGTAACAAGTCTTTCATTATTTTAGGCTCAAAGAATGCAGTACTGCTTGAAAACAGAGGTGGCTTTGCTGCTGTGATCAGCGACACTTTTTTTTCCAATTTCCAGTTTTTCTCCGGCCAAAATCAGCGAAATTTGGCGTCCTGAATAATGTTGTTTGATGTTATAATGTTGGTTTGCGCATTATAGTTTTCAGATAATTTCACTCAAGAGAGGCAAATTACTGTGATTTTTCAGGGGGCTCTATAGCCACTGCCAGCATTGTATTGAAAAGTTGGCATAATGCGCGCGGAGGAGGGCTCAGATGGACGGTCACAACTATCCCGAAATTCTTCGAATTTTCGTTTCTTTCTGGCCTCTCTTTTTACATGCCGTACTGTTACTTCAGTAGAGTGCGCTCAATCCAGCAAATTTCAAAATGCTAGGGAATTGTTATTGAAAAGTTGCGAGCCAAGAATAAGAAATAAGAAATAAGAAAATAAGAAAATAAGAATAAATTGAATAAGAAAATCTGCAAATCGAAAAAAAACTTTCGGAACATCCTAGTGCTTACGCAAATGCTCTAATGTATTTTCAAGGCTTTTGAATTTCAATACACTTCACACCTTTTAGCCTCGTTGGAATTTGGCATAGTGCTAATGGGCTCTACAAAATTGTTTAAACTTGACCTTGTCTTTGTGTACAAATTCTGATTCTGCTCAATATTTTATAGGTGGTGTTCGGTACGCAACATTTTGTAAGTGCCGAAACTACCCGTATGCCCTTATAAGAGCGAATGGAAGCACGGAATTAGGTCTAAACAGGGAATGGTCGGAACTTAAAGGCAGCGGCTCGGCAGATTGTCGACTTGAAGTTTTTCTGCTTACCTGGGATAATTCGAGGCGCTGGTTCCAAAGGTCCACCTTGAAGAGCACGAAAATGGCGACCATTTCCCAAGGTCTTCCATTTTAATTCGGACGAGTGGAGCATGTCCCGCCATGGTTAGAGAGGCAGAATCGTTGCGGGACCCTCGCAATATAACATTGCGGCATGCCTTCTCGGACGGGTCACGGAGTATCGCAAGCTCGTTCTGCGCGTAATAGAATGGCTTGCGCGTAAAGGGGTTTTCTAGGCAAGGGCATGCTGTACGCTCGGACTTGCTCTGTTCTCATGTTTAGGGTACAAGCAACCCTCCATGTCAAAATGTTGGGATGTCGGTTTTGGCGAGCTGCTGCCTTTAACCCAGCCATAGAAGACATGCTGTATATCATCGGACTCGTCTTAGCACGCTGATTCAGAATATATGTTTTTTATCTGCCAAACGATCTGGGAGGAGTTATGAGCGTTGAAATGTGAGATTTGTCAAGTGTTCTCTGGCGCATGTTCCACGAAATAGGTTTCAAAAACACTTATCTGGATTTTCAGTAAATGTGCTTCTTCCTAGTAATTAAAATAACCAAGCCAATGTAAGTCCACGCCATCAGGCAGCCTCTCAAGGAAATATATTTGTCGAAACTCGAAGAATATCTCATATTTGAACGTTCATAACTCCTTCTAGATAGTCGCTTGGCAGAAAAAAAACATATATTTGAAATCAGCTTTTAAGACGAGTTGATATGTAGCTTGTTTGGAATGGCTAAGTTCTGACCATTTTCTCGTTAGCAAACATGTTACTACGCAGAGGCTATTTTTAAAGATAATTTGATGATGGAACGAATTACTACGGCTAGTGATATTTTGTGAAAAAAGAAATGTTTTTCCATGAATCATTATGCATAAACTTCGCTTCGTAAACGATTCTCTTCAAGACACAACCACCACTGCACCTTAAGACATTAAAGGCAGCGGCTCGGCAGATTTTGCGTTTCCATCTTTTTGCATGTTTTGGGCCTTCTCAACCCGTAGATCCCGAATCTGAGCTTTAAAAGGGGTGAAAAGGCCTTTTTCGGGGCGTTTTTTTCAATTTCCAAAAGGCAGCTCAGACGAGAATTCTCAAAGGAAAGTCGGGAGGTCCGGCACGAAGACCCTGCTGCCTGTAATTTTGGCTTTGTATAGCATGCACAATGCGGGAAAGGGGTGGGGGAACGAAAGCCGCCAGTTTCAGCCGCCTTTCGCGGCTAACTAGTCCTTTCGCAACGTTATTGCATGTCGTTCCAGGACCAGCAGTCCGCGCAGGCGACCGAAGCTGGCGGCTTTCATTCCCCCACCCCGGGAAAGTGGTCGGGGGGTCCCGCGCCGCCTAGCGGAGAATACTCGTCCAAACAAGGTGTTAGGGGAGCGAAAGGAGGAAGGGGAGCGGCGCTTGGGCCGCCCCCTGGCTTGCAGAGTTCACATTTTCGGCGCGGAGTCGCTGTTGTGGTTCACTTGGAGGGCCTCCCAACCATCTGTGTCCAAATCTGAGGTAGTTCTATTCTGCCGAGCCGCTGCCTTAAAGACACCTTTTTCATAAGTTTGTTGAGACCAAATCGGAAAATCTCTCGATGGGGTCGTCACTCGTGGAGCTATACACATTATGGCGAAAGCACACATTTTATACTAAAAATGATTTAGCTTCAAAAAATACATTGCGAATACATGCCTTGTCACTATGTTTTGTGTTTATGAAATATGAGATTTCAGTCTATCCCTAGAACTTGATCGCTCATATACTTATTTTTATTTTTTGTATCATTCAATACGCTCTTCGCGTTCCTGACAAAAGAACGAAGAACATACAGTTTCACTCATACTCCAACCGCAACGACAGTTCATCATGTATATGGATCCAACCCAGGCTGAATTAGTATTGGGTTGGTGCAAAAATAATGGCCGATTTTCCAAGCCTTTTTTCTTTTTTCCCATCAATACTTCTTCTAAAAAATAAATATGGTAAACCATCGAGAAGCTGTTTTCATGCTCTATCTAATGGTGTTTAGAATAAGCTTCCATCCTCATCTATTCTAAAGTTACTGAACTTCAAATAACCGCATCCAAAATTAGAAATTCATTGCATCCCCTTTTCTGGCCAGAATTCAAGCGCTATCAATGGCACTTCTTCGAAAATTTAGCTATTGTATATAATAGAAATTGTCTACTTACGCATACTTGACTGCATTCGTTAAAGTTATCCAGACTGAGATATCGGTGTCTAAACATGGGTAGCTGTTGCGATCATTTAATGACCAATAATTTTCTTCAAGAAGTCAAGCGTAGGGCTGGGGCATCCTATTAGCAGTTTTTGCAAGGGCATCCAGCGGTTCAGTGCGTAGAAAACCAGAAAATTCTATATTCGGGACTTTGAGGCCCACTGAAAAAATGTTGAAAAAAGTGAGAAATTTTAGATTTCGATTTTTTTCTTTCTTTCAAACTTTTTTGTCCGAATTCTTTTTATTGTGTTTTGTACTACTGGCTTGCCGCTACAAAATAGGCTACTTATCATCCATACTAACAAACTTCGAAGGAAGTTATGAAATGTCAAAAACAAGCTTTTAGTAGAAGAACCTTTTTTGTTTTTCAATAGATATTTTTCTGCCCGTTTGTGATGCGAGTATATGTATATGTGCGCTGTATTGCAGAAGGTTTGCTGCTTCTGATGATTGTTACCGCGTTCTGTGGATCTTTCAGAAAGCTATAGCACGTCAAAGTGAGAACTGGCCATTATTTTTGCACTAACCTGATAGAATTGTGATGAAAGCTTGTATGTGACTGCTCTATAACTATAATTATCAGAATTGAACTGATATAACCATGGAGATGGTACCCATGCTTCCTTTTTCGCCGAATAAACGATTTTTTTAAAGCTTATAAAATCTGTGGATCAATTCTTTTCACGTCCTGTTAGACACCTTTAAAGCCAGCACCGGATCTCAATGAGCCCCTCAAAATCATTGAAATCCAAAAATAAGTCATTAACAGGTGGGCACAGGTGGCTTACAAGCAAGCTGGACATCGTTTTTGGGACAAAAAGCAAAGGGGGTTTCGTTTGTGTGACCGAAGACACACGCGAAATTGGCGACGTTTTTTCAGTCGACGTTTCGTTTTTAAAGATTTTTTCTAGGTTTTTAGAGGAAATATGGTCGAGGGTCAAAGGGGACTTCGTAAGAATTCCCAAAAGTCAAGGGGGACTTCGTTTTTTGCATTTTCATTTAGTCACCTCGTGTCGAGGCCCTGGTTATGAGGTCAAAAGATTGCTAGTTTCTTCAGGCGTTGTACGCTCTTTGAGCGCAAGATGTTGAAAAATAATAGTGGCGCTGTGTATTTAGCTTCAGACGAACTTTATAATGACCCGAGAAATGTTCCCGTGGGATAATAAACGATAAAATTACCAAAATGTGGTCAGCTGAGCGTACGTGTTGAAAGGCTGTTGTGAGGCAACGGTCAGGTGTAGGTGAACGATTCCGCTTTACACAAATTGCTCTCACTAAGCCAGACACGCAGGAGAGCTCCAGCTTTTCTCGACCTTCGCTTCCATATCGTATTTCCGGTTCGTAATGCTTATTTTCGAATGAAAAATCTGCATGACCTAATAATCAAAAATTCCATCAATGGGGTTATGATACCTTCTGAGAAATACTACTGGGGTCATTTGAAAAATGCAGGAAAACCTAAGAACTACTACTTTCAGAATGTTCTGGAACCTTGTTGTGGTGCAATATGAGAAATATCATCTTCACCATATTCTCCTCTTCAGTCTTCTCCTCCTGTACAGGTAAATTCTTCGATATTTTGTTCTTGGTAATTTATTTTCCTTATTAGACATCCTCACAGCTTTCTGTGAATGATCAAGTTACTGTCGTGAGAGTACGGCCACCCCTTGTGTGTACGGCTATGGATGTTCTTCTTGAGATTATTCGAGATTTCAACCTCCCACATCTTTGGAATTTGCTTGATTCAATCATGGCTCGACCTTTCAGCATTCCTCCAAAATGCCCGTCTGCTAGATTTTTTCGTGTTTCCTAGCGAAACTCTTAAAAAACTCCCTAAAGATTAGAGACATTTGTTACATTGCCGAAAAAGCGCGGATGTTTGGAAACATTGTGAGCTATACAAATTTGTAAGTGTTCTCAAATTTCAAGTCTGAGTCATTTAACAAGAATACTTAGCGACCATAGCCTTTTGGAGTGAAATGTTTGTAACAAGGTGCTGCTTCTTATCCACTTAAAATATTCATAAACGTATTTTTCTGAACTAGTAATAATGACGAACAATAACGATTCTACGATCATACTATGACGGAATGACAAATATTTTATGGCACATGTGACGTCCTTCAAAGATTTTCTGTTATGCTTTAAAAAAATTATGTGAGTTCATGACTATAAAATAGGTGAAGCATGGTGGGAACTAAGCTTCACAGAGTTTTTACTAATAATTCCATACACAAGTAAAAACAAATTACCACAATTTATACGTCTGCTTTTTCACAATTTTTGCGACCATTCTAAGAATGTGGGTGTTGGAAGGGGGGTGGACGGAGGAAAGCGCATCTACATATGTACATACACCTATATACACCTCATTGTGAATGGTCGCGTTCATTAAGGATCAATCCTCCAGAAACAAAAAAAAATCGAGCATTTGTCCGGTGTAGCTGCTGAAGATGCTCAACAAATTCACGAAAAAATCGTATTTTTCCTACAATGGGCTCATTAATCTTGTGGCATGCTTGCACAAAAAAGTTCCTTCTCTGTCTTGCCCTTGATGTACGGCTATCACTAAGCAGTAAAACTGACAATGACCTTTGTTACTTGAGTAGATACGCATAGGACTTGGTCGAATGTTGCCGAATTAATATTAGGTTAGTCCGAAAGTTCTGTCCCACCATTTTCAAAAAATCATAACTTCTTCCTGTCACAATAATTTTGCATGTCTAAAAATCCATTGGAAAGGGCAATCCATGCACTTTATAAATCTACCTTGGCTGCTATCTACTAAGCTCGGAATGCAGAGATAAAATTGGAAAAAGGAAATCATTTCAAGTTCAGAATTTTTAAGCAAGCCCGTTAAAAAATCCAAACTGCCATAAAATCTAAAACAACCAGTATCTCAGATTTTCTAATCTCTTTCCATATGAGCCATGTTCGCGCTAATCGGGCTCTTCTTAGAAATATTATGATTTTCGAGAAAAAATGCCGAAAAATCAGTTCCTTAAGAAAATTGATTTTTTGGCATTTTTTCAAAAAATCATAACCTCCAAAGGAACAGCTCGATCAGCGCGAAGTTTGCTCATATAGAAAGAGAGGATCAGAAGAGCCAGGATACTGGCTGTTTGGATTTTATGGCACGGTAATTTTTTAACGGGCTTGCTTAAAAGTTCCAAACCTGAAGCAATTTGCTTTTTACAATTTGATCTCTGCGCTGCGAGCTTGATAGATAGCAGCCAAGGTAGATTTAGAAAGTGCATGAATTGCTCTTTCCAAGAGACTTTTAGTCATGCAAAATTATTGTGATAGGAAGAAGTTATGATTTTTTTTAATTGGTGGGACAAAACTTTCGGACCAACCTAATATTTCATCATGTGAGTCATTTTGACTTGAAAATCACAGTGACGCATTAGCAGTTCGATATTCTTCTGGAAAAGAAGATAACAACCGAAACCTTTTCCCTCATCGCATACCTTTGTGACTTTATTTCGAGTTTATCTTGCAACCTGAGATCATCAAGTTCTTCACTCTTGCAACCCTTAAAGATAAGTTCAACTATTGAATTCTTTTGCGTCTCCATTTCTTCGGGACATATCATGTAGAACAGGTGTTCGTCCATATGCTGCGCATCAAAAAATTTACATACTCACACAGTTTTTCCATGGCGGATGTTTCATCAACTTATCACTTATCGTCTTTTGAAGGGTTCTTAATATTTGATTTCTTCCATCTTTGCCAGGGTAGAATTACATCTAATTCAATACCTCTATTATAACAAAATTAGACTTCTCTCAGAAATTTTTTTCCATGAAATAGCAGATGTACTATGCATCCATGTACTCAAAATACACTAACCTGAGGCCGATTAATTTCTACCGAGCTTCTCAGTCCGTGATGCTTCAAGAAAAATTTTATTGCACTCATCATGTAAGTTCAAATAAACAAAAAGTTAATTGCTAAACCTTGGAGAATGAGTGGCCAATAAAACCTGTCAGCTTATGTGTAAACTGATCGTTTGTCGTACGTTTCTCGACACAGAGCACTTCTAACAGATGTTAAGTGAGACGGACTCGTCAACGACGGACGAATGCGATATGCTATTTTGACAGCTCTGACTCGGATAGTCTAGAACAATTAGCCTCATGCAGAAGCATCAAACGATGTCTGTTTAATGCGAAATTTTCCAACAGCATGTAGCACAGCGCTGTTTCCGTGTCTAATCTCTGAACCTACACTCACAATGTCTATTGAAAATGCACTGCAAGCTTGGCTTCTCATCCAATAAATCGAATTCATCCAAAGAGATCAAAATCAATATCAATTCCTCAGACAAATCACTGGAACTTCCGCAGGACAAGCCAAATTTGCAGAAGTTCCGCAAGATTTTGTTCACTACTGCAAAAATGAAAACGTTGAAAGTTGGAATTCCCGCGGGACTTTCATGTCAAACTGGTTGAAAACCGGAACTTCCGCAGAACTTTCCTCAGAATCCTGCGGAAATTCCGAAAAACGCCAGAGGTTCCGCGACACTTTGGCCTGCCAGAACTTCCGCAGGACTTTGAATGTGTTGTCTCGTGATGTTGCCTCGCCAACAACTAGAGTTCATTATCAAACATGTCAGCCGTAGCGTAGAGGATAGTACGTGGGTCTCGCAGTCAATAAAGTGAGGTTCAAATCTCGCTTCGGTGTTCTCTTTTGCTGTTGTGGTCGACATTCTTCGGAACTTCCGCAGGACCTCATCTCGGAACTTCCGCAGGTGACCCGGCGGAACTTCCGCAAGCGCTCTGCGGAATTCCGTCATTTGTCTGAGTCAAAACTGCAATATGACGTAAATCATTATGGCATTTGATATTTCATAATTCCCTGAAGCTAAAATAGTAATACCAGAAAGATGCAGAATCTCATTAGAATGGGACTATATAGTCCATACAATTTTCCATGAAGAAATTTTACAGTCTTGCTGGAGCTCTGGTCTTTTGTGGTCTTGAAAGTGAAAGCGAAGACATACAAAATGAGGAGGAGCTCACGCGATTAATTCGACAGAGCGTTGCTGCCAAAAAGGAGTTAGTCGAAAGAATTCAGGTGTTTATAGAATGTAAGCATTTGTGTCTAGATTTTGCATCGAACCTTTCAGACGATATACTTTGGGAACTCGAACGTAATTTTCAACGAAACTGAGCTACGGAAAGCAATTGATAGGTATGATGTGAGCATGGAAATGAAACCGATACTGCAAAGAGAGAAGCGGTGGACATTATGGGGTGGACTCTACTATGCTGGGACCATCTACACAACCATTGGTGAGACATAATCGTTAACATTTTGAAGATGTTGATTTCCAGTCACTACTGCTGTTTGGGAGACGGTCGTAAGGCGCGTATTGATCGGTTTTTACTAAATGGGAGAAGCAAGAAAACAGTTCGAATCTATTTTAATGCTATCGGATTTTAACTGGTTATCTTTCTTTATACTTTCTGATGTACTGACAAAAATCTCGCAATCTGGAAACCTTGCTTTTGAGAGAACTGACCCAGTCTGGCAATGAAGGCTGAGGGAACGCGCGCCTTTCGACATCCACCTCTGCTGTTTTTACATGCAAGGGTCTCTTTTTTCAGCATGAGATATTCTACCAAATAAGCTCAAAAATAGTATAAAAAATTTTTCTCTTAGAGATTAAGAAGGCTATCGACTTAAATAAGTCAATTTTTCTTTCTCTGGCACTCTATAATTCATGATCAAAGAGCATAAATGACTACAAATTTTCAGGCTATGGTGACTTGGCAGCTCAGACCTTTTGGGGACGGCTGTTTACAATGGTCTACGCAATTATGGGAATTCCAATGGTGATCACTATTCTCAACGATTGGGGTACGATAATGTTTCGTGCGGTAGATGGTGAGTGTAGCTAATTTCGCTTATTTTCACCATTTATATAGCCGTATTTGAGTGGTGTGGAGGAATTATGTTTCGATAATTTCCCATCCGTTCACACTTTGCTGGAGATCAAAACATCATGATTCACAAGAGGTGAGCGCTTCTTTTTACAATAACTCATTTTCACACTTTAGATGTGACTGGGAATATTTTAATCGAAATCAGAGAGTTTTCGTTATAAAACTAGGAAACTAGGCAGCATGCATTTCTTCCTCTATTCAAAACTCACCGCCTAGATTCTTGCAGTCATTATATATGTCATTCTCCAGAGCATATACGCCTACATTTTTTGCAGTTATGATAGTAAATATCTCGTCTTTTTTGAGATTTGCGAAATTCCAGATTTTGTAGTAATCATTCTTAAACCAGATATGTTCAAGGTCTTCAAGAGGAGTTCGAACTCAGCTTGATAAGACAAATCGTATAGTTTACATCGAATCTTTTACAGTGTGCTAGCTGCGGAATTTGCGACATCTGCGAAATCTCGCGAAGATCGCAAATTCCGCAAATCCTGCGAATCGCGCAAGTCGCGCAAATAATCGAATCCTTGGAAAATTGGGCATGTCATGGCTGCTATTTTTACTAACAAGAAACCATTTCTTGAATGATGTTTCTGTTGATCTCCATCACCAAGAACTTGCATTTGCTCATCTCAGCGAAATTGTGGAGGCGTAGAAGGATTAACGATTTAATTACCGCTGATCTCAGCTTGACGGCAGCTGTTGCTTTGGGGGAAGCAGAAGACAAATTGAGCTCGATTTCAGCCAGAAATATCCGCTGCGGGAATCCAAGCCTCAGACACCTGCAAAAACATCTGACTCAGTGTGATAAACTTCTCCAGTTACTTGTCTAGAGCCATACTTTGTAGTGAAATTGACTACAATACTTGTAGCGACATCTACTCCTACTGGATAATATTGAATGTGCTGGAAAGATTTGCGCCTATATGCCTTCTTGAGGAAAGACTGCATGAACCAATTTATCATTGCCGAGAAATTATAAACACTCAAATAGCGACAATCGGTTACTGTAAGTGGCGTCAAAAAAGGGAGGTGTCTGCCTAGTCTGCAAAAAGTGAAGGGACTGACGAAACTCACTGCACCTAAGAAAATTCGAAAGTTCTCATCGAATGAATGAATATCGATTGAATTCGAATTCGAAAAATTTCAAATTAATTCGAAAATAAAAAAATCCAAATAAGGGAGTTTCGAGTAAACGAACCTTGAAAATCTCGAATGAATGAATCCCCAATAAACCTTGAAAATCAAAAATAACGAGTAAATGGATATCGTTTATGTTCGAACATTAAAAGTCGAATTGCGAATCAAAAATGTAGAGCAATATTTAAAACTTGCTGTCATACCCGGCTGTAGTCGATTCTTTCATATTAAGCACCCTCACCCTTCTGCCCCGTAGCTCAAAGTTCTTAGGAGATCGATAAAATCGATAAAGTAGATTTTTATTCACGATCAGCACTCCCCTTACCCTCTGTACCAACTCCAGCCCCGTAGCTAAAATTTTTTCAAAATAAATAGATAAAACCGACAAGATTTTCATTCATGAACAGCTTGCGAAAAATTTGAATCATTGATCGAAAGAGCGTTTGAAGCCCACACCTATTTTAATGGAGCAGCCTTTACAGAATATTTTCGGAATATTTTTTGGAATGGGTGACTAACGCCATGACTTCATAAAAATTCTTTGTCATCAGGTTCGGCTGGGATAGTTAATTTCATACATAAGCTATTCACTTCGCCATTATTTCAATTCAAAAGTTACGGCCGGTTACCCTTTAGTTAGGTATACCCTAATGAATTTCTCAATTTTTATCAAAAATCGGATTCCATCTGAACTGCTCTACAAAGATGTGCAAAACTACTAACCAGAGACAACGGGGGGGGGGGGGGGGCGAAGCCACCAAACACATGTTGCATTTTTTGACCATCCCCCCCCCCCTACTGTACTATGTAGTGCATTTTTTGGACGGTGCCAAAGACTTGTGCTCTCTTACACAATGGTGGTGTCATCTCATTTCAAAAATTGGCAAGCGCCTCTGCCGTCTTTCAAAACATATGTTCTCAATATTGGCATTTCAACGGGCAAGCGGCCTATCGTTTTTTGCTGATGTGAGGGAAAAGCTAACATGTGCATACTTGCCCCATATCATTCTTAGCGCACAAAATCATGCCTCGAGTAAACAAATGGCTTGTTTTCAAGTGGCAGCATGATATAACACCAAATTAGTTGTGTACACACATTCAATGATAGCAACACTATATGGAAAAAGCATGAAAAACTTATGTGAACGAAAGGCGTGGCCCATTCGCTCTAGTAGGTTGTCCCATAAGTCTTTTCATATCTACTTTTCACCAGCATAAATCTGCTCTTCCTATTTTTAATGGGATGCGAGGCACCATTCCAAAAATCAAGACTTGCTGCATTCTTCTGATGGCTAGAAATCGAGAAAAAATAATGCGCTCAATTTCCAAACTTCGCCTGTAACGGACTTATGCTCCTCGCATGTGTATGATTGTACAGCTTATTTACACAGGAATACTCCCACAAATTTACACCCTTGCAGATGTCTTAGTTTTAGATATCAGTTTGAAAGTACGAATATGAAAAGACTTATGGGCAACCTAATATATCGAGGATAACATTACTTCTGAGGAGGAACTTTTCGCAAGCAATTAAGCAACTTTACAGAACATCGTCAAAGCCAGCGCTTACACATCCGATTCCGGAGATCCCGATGCCGAGGAACCAATACCTTTATTTCTTGTAGTCATTGGTCAGTTTTTTTTTGAATTCTAATTATCTTGTTTTGATGAGTTTTGATGCTTGGATCATTGTTTTCGAAGGGGTGAAGTGCAAACTATATCCAGTTCGACGTCTTCTGGTAGGTTTGCGCATCTAAAAAAACTGTCAGCTTCTAAAACGCGAATCAAAGTCAATCTTTTGCACTTGAAGAAATAGTGCATTTTAGTGTTGGCATTTTGGATGATGCTGTGTTGCATGGTCTTTTCCTACTTCGAACAATGGCCTTTCTTTCAAACGCTGTACTTCTTCTTCATTTCGCTTACCACTATCGGTCTGGTTTTAACCTCTTCAAATTTCGCATTCTACCAATTCAATTTTGCAGGTTTCGGTGATGTTACTGCTAAACACGACGTGGCTGTGGCCAGCTTTCTACTCATCCTCATTGGTCTGTCAGTGGTTTCAATGTCAATCAACGTGATACAAATGCAACTTGAGATCTTGTTTGCGAAAATGGTCAAGTCCATAGATAACGATTTCAAAATGAAAATAAGCTCCGGAGGTGAGCTGACTTTAATCGTTGCTTGAATACGCCCTTATGAGAAACACAACAGATGAAAGCAGAAAGTCGCTGAATAATATTGGTGATGTGGAGCGCGGGACAACGAAGCCGTTTCCGAAAAAAGGTAAGGGTCGATCACATATCTTCTTATTTGATGCATTCAATAGTTCTGACGTAAAATCTGACGGAAATACCTAAATCAACATTTGTTCCATTTGATGTTGCAAACATATGTAATTTAAAAGTTTCTAAGCCCTAAATTTTGTTTTCAAAAGTCTGTATAGGCGTCCAATGTTAGACATCGTGTCCAGAATGAGCATTTAAGCTGAATTTTATATGCCTGCAAACTCCTAATACCATTATTGGCTGTGCAGATGATAAAAGAAGTTAGCAATCTCGGAAACGCTCAGGAATATAATATACGACACAACATGCCAAGTTCAGAAATGGTCGAATATAGGCGTTTAAATCGTTAAGGATGGTTATACACATATGTTTGAGATTACAGAAATTTCCAGATGATGACGCTGTAAAGCAATATGGCGAAAAATTGAGTGGGTCAGAACGGTTACTGATGCGATTCATGAGCCATCATCAGTGAGTTCACGTTCTTTTTGAGACTCTACCTCGACAGTGAACAAGTCGTAATCTTTGTAACTCAGTGCTAAAACTCCGTCCAGAGTTGCGTGCCGGGCTCCAGCGTCGTGCTACTCGTATGAATCAACACGGGCGCGTCCGCTTGGGTTCCAGTACGGCGCTGGCACGGTCTCGACAAGCAGGCAACTCTGGACGCGGTTCTGGAGCAGCCTTGTCGTTCAGCAAGAGAACGTAATTGTGAATAGAATTTTCGATGTTTCAGGAAAAAGATGCTGAACGAGAAGATCGAAGAAAGGGCTAAAATGAGGAATAAATGGACTCAAACAACACCACAATATAAAGTAATCAATGAGCATCGTTTCCGATTTCCTGCATATATGGCAAAATTTAGGTGGCTTCCGTGCAAACGACAAGGTACGATGAACCACAGGCCGCTGCTTCAGAAGAAGAACACGAATCATCACTACCAAAATCTCAGATAGCCACGAGAAGGCTGTATATATACAATACTGGAGAGTAGCTAGAATTCAACAGGAAGCGCTCCGATCTGGATCAGGGTGACCTTCACTTGCTTGAAATGCTAGCTTTTGACGCTGCGAAATTTCCATAAGCATATTATAATATTTTCACGAATATCGTTGTCGATTAACGACACGAAGGCGCTTTGATGTGTACACACATCAGGTTGCTCACAAGCCTTCGCAGAAGTTTCTATTCTTATTTTTTTTTGATCTAGCCAATCGTTGTCAATGACAGATGTCCAAGTTGGCAAGTTTTCGAGGCCTTGCTCCAGAAGCCCTCAAATAGCTAAAACAAAATGAGGACAGTATCTTTGCGATGTAATTGCCGGATTCTAGCGCTGAGTGAAAGCTGACAACATGGAAATGCACTCTGCAAGTGCGAACCGTAAATGCATAGTAAACCTTTCAGCTCAGCATGAGTTGTAGAACTTCGTAAGCAAAACTTACAACCGCCAATTTTTTCATTTCTAATATGGCAAGCTCGTCAGAGGACCACTGGGTCAAGTGTCGCGGTCAGTTTACCGCGCTACCCATAAGAAAGGCCATGTTAGACGAGAAGCGACAATGTCTCGGAAAGTTGGGGCACCTACACCCTGTGGGGAGAGTCGCGCCCACTTGTAGCTTCCCATAGCGGTAGAGTACATGCGCATGCCGTCACAGTTGAAAGCACGGTCCTATAAGGCTTTGCACACTAGGACTGGCTTAAACTGTTTCATTCTTTAACGTTTACGTGCAGGACTCTGAAAATGGTTATTTCCATTTATGCGGTCTCAAAATGGCTACCGGGTTTATACGGCGTAACAGGGCTCTAACAGTTTTGCTCAGGTGACCAAAAAGCTGTGAACTGATTTTTTGCCCGAACGTTGAAGTTAGACCAACTGCGTCAAGTGAACTCGATCACCTGTTGCCCAACTCAAGTTTTGAAATGCCTGAAATGCTTTGCTGTAAAGTAGAGCCCATTGATGTTGGAAACCTCTAAAAATGCATGAAGCAGGTGGTCAACATAAAAATAGCTTGTCTCAGTTGTGTGCGTCACACAAATCGAATTACAGAAGTGGCGATCCGAAAAAGATTTTCTGAGTGGGGGTACGGTTAGCCGCACGTCACGCACCCGAGAAATTTTTGAAATTGCCGTTCAAATTGTTCGTGATGTAGAACTATTTTCAAAAAGGGCTTGAAACTAATTTGACTCTCAACAATTTTTTGAAAACAATCATTTCGAAAGTAGGAAAAGCCATTTCCATAATCTTATAATCCATGTAGACTACCAGATATTTCCTGACTTCTTCTGGGGAGGAAAAGGTAAACGCTTCCCTTCCTCCCCTTCCCTTTCCTAGGGCCCGTCTTTGGTACGCTACGATATCTCACAAAAATCCGAAAATAGGGAGTATTTTTTTGGGGCGTGGCCCTTTTGCAAAAAATTGAAAAGAATCCTAAAAACCTTTTTGAAGGGCATGGCTAGGGCCACAACCCTTATTCGTATGGAATGTCTGCCCCTTCCCTCATCCCACTGTGTCTAAATGCCTCAAAGGCAGTGGATAGGCAAAATGGACCCTTTTCGGATTTTGATGGAGTTAGGTAGTAGACCCCCAAGTACACTGTAGCCTAAATCCCACCTGCTGGATCATGCGCTAAGCCCTGAAAAATGGGCTTCAAAACTTCACTCCCCCCACTCAATGGAAGTGGGTGGGGCGGGTGGAGGTTTTGAGGCCTATTTTTCACGGCTTAGCGCATGATCAGGCAGGTTGGCTATGTGCTGCAGTGTACTTGGGAGTCTGTTACCTAACTCCATCAAAATCCGAAAAAGGTCCATTCTGCCAATCCGCTGCCTTTAATACCCCTCTGCTGAGTAAAATGGCGGAGTTTACTGTGGGCATGTAAATTTTATTATAGACCCGTGCAGGAAATGGAAATTTTTGCTGTTGCGTTACAAGAAAGATCATTGTTGAAAGGGCTAAGAATGAGCGGCGTTATGCTAGACAATAAAGGCCAGGGCCCGGCACAGATCGTCTGGAAGCAGGTTGGACTTCGTTTTTAGAGCAAAAAGCAAAGGAGATATCGTTTTTGACGAGTAGGGACCGAGCACCATAAGCGCCATTTTGTCGATCACAAGCTTTTCGGACAGGTTATCACACGATTGACATGCTCTATCGTGTATGACGAAAAGTGCGCGCGATTTGAAAGCAAGGCTAAAACAAACAAATTGCTTGTTTACAGCGGAAACACAAGCTTTTAACGCCAAATTTATACCACATAAGTAAAATATTATTTGAAGAAGACCTATGTAAAAAGTTTTGAAAACTTATGTGAAGTAATACCTTTTCCAAAATTAGATCGTCTCCAGACGGCCACCAGACGATCTGAGATCGTCTGGAGCATATATTTCGGTCACTTCACATAAGTTCCGGTTTTTTTCAGCATGGACGGATTCCCTGGTCTAAAATCTATCTCACAGCATAAAAACATTTTCATATAGTTGCCTTTTTGTTGTTTTTTGACTTGTTTTCTTCATAAATTGCTTTGTTAGATATCGCGCTCTGATGCCAAATTCTGGCGCATCCGCAGAACAACTCCACTTTGTATTTTCACTCTTATTTCAGGGTTTTCTTAACAAACTAGTGACTCTTTCCTGTTTTCATCTTCCTCCAACTCGATAGGTTTCTTACAAGGATCAAGGGGGACCTCGTAAAATTTTCGAAAGTCAGGGGGAACTTCGTTTTCAGAAGCTCTAGAAACCGACTCGTGCCGGGCCCTGATAAAGGCCAATGCCGACAACAGTTGAAAACAATCTAACGTTTTTCTTTTTCAATTGTATTAATATCCATCCTTCATCATCTCCAGTTCAATAAATGAAGTGATTGATGTTTATTGATAAGTGAGGCACCGATTGGTTTAGCGTATATTTCATGCTCAACATTCCTCAAACAAAGGGTTTCTTGTTTACCGGTGATAACGATGTCATTTTTTTTTTCGAATTGTAAGCTCATGTTTTTGTGCATTTGCATTTTGTGCTCAGATATGTACGTGTCACCCTTCCTTTCAAGCTCAATAAATCATTGTTTTGCTTGTGAAAGCTCAGATGTTATTGCAGAGCATAATTGGTAGCATACTTGTGTGCATCTCGAAGCTCTCTTCAGTATAGATGAGGATGAAGGGCTAGAGAAAACTTAGTTATGCTCTATTTTTCTTACACTCAAGGCTTCTCAACTTCAACCTTGATAAGCGAATGTGTCGTAGTGAGATATTCGCTTTACGGTGGTGCCAATTTCAATTTTTCTTGATTTTGAGTTTACAATTACCGTTTTGTGGACTTCCGTGCGTGACTATAAACATAGTCTTGTCAAAATTCGTTCAAATTCCCATAGCTTTCCTCATCTTTCCATAAAAAGCCGTTGCAAGCACAATGTAATCCAGAAATAATCAACTCAGCCCTTCTGTGGAGCAGAGAGAAAAAGGCAAGTTGAAGTGAAAAAAAAGGCATTTAACATTTTGATGGCAGTTTAATAAATATCGGTCCTAGAGTTGAAAGTAATCTGAATTTCGCAGGTTCAGCAGATTTGATGCGGTCGTCAGGGACGCTACCTGAGCAAAAAAAAGCTTTAGAGCACATATCTCTAAGCTTTGCCCCCCCCCCCCCCCCGATGGCAGTCTTTACGCAGTATTAATCGACAACGCAAGGACATTGTATTAACCTAGAAACCACCAAACCATAAAAGTACAATTTTCACGCACTTTTCCGAGTGGTAAACATCCAATAGAAACTTTTCTGCATTCCTATGCTGTCCATCTGAAGTTCCGGCTTACATTCACATGATAACATGGACTCTCTTTACTTTGTTTACTGTCCTGGAAGCATTGTTATCTCAATATCTTGCATCGTTAGCTAAAAAAAGCTTGCGAAGAAATGTTTTTGGCTACCATATTTGTGTAATCGATAGCTCTTTATGGCTATTAGACAGAATGAGAATTTTTTGCTTTTACGCCAATGGGAAACATTGTGGTAGTATCGATCCAGTTCCATAATTCCTATAGGGCTTCATGGCGATAGGCGTTAAGCGAGAGTGATACCGTGGGAACGTTTTGTGTATTCCGAGACGAAAAATCATTCGGCCTAAATTTGGCCAAAACGCTGACTTATTCTCTTAGAAGATGTAAATACCAATTTTGTACTATTCGATTATTCATTTGACTTGTAGAGGCTATGTATAATCTCTCTGGAATTCCTTGCACAGATATCAGTGCGTACTCTCAGTAGCGCCTTTGACTCAAATTGATATCAAAGTCATAGTTTGCGAATGACTGGACCAGTTTGCGGGTCATTCGTGACTTTGATATGAGCCTACACACCATGCACGCAAACCGACGACACTCCTACTAGTAACTCCTCAGTGATCTAACATAACAAAGGGCAGAAATGTATACCACTAATAAATACTTATCCTATCGATTCAAAAGAGACAAAGACAAGGAGAAATATCCCCAAAATTGAGCAGACTCTAATCCCACAAGTCGTCAAGTAGAGCGCATGGTGTGCAATACGCATATTTAGTTACAAACGATTCGACGATACATCTGTCATTTTATTGTAGTCATTTGCTTTGAACTTCATAACAGCGCCAATTTTTCGAGCTCTGCCATTTTGGACCAAATCTTAAGGTTTTTTGGAAATTAAAGGTTTCTCAAAACTTATTCGAAATGTTGTTTAAAGTGCTTCTTGCTAAATGCACATTGATTCCAATTGCCAGCAGCATACTGTAGGCCAACGATACACGCGCTTTGGAAGGACAAGATTAGCGCTTGCGAGATGTTTTAGAGGTGATTACTTTATCATTTGCAAAAACATATCGTTTTGTATATTATGTCATTATTGTTGTTGGGAAGTTATCTCAAGATGATTCTTTGGCGCCACATCTTATTTCAATGACGATCAAGTATCATGTTGGAGCATGCCAAAAACATTTGCACATAAGATTTCACCTTTTTGATGCAAAATCCTCGA